CCTCGTTATCTCTCTCTCTCATCTCTCTCTCTCTCTCTCTCTCTCCCTCATTCTCTCTCTCCTGTCTCTCTCTCTCTCTCTCTCTCCTCATCTCTCTCTCTCTCTCTGTCTCTCTCCTCTTCTCCCATCTCTCTGTCTCTCTCTCTGTCTCTCTCTCTGTCTCTCTCTCTCTCTCATCTCTCTCTCTCTCCCTCGTTCTCTCTCTCTCTCATCTCTTCTCTCTCTCCTCTCTCTCTCCCTCATCTCTCTCTCTGTCTCTCTCTCCTCTCTTCTGTCTCTCTCTCTCTCTCTCTCTCATCTCTCTCCTCTCTCCTCCCTCATCTCTCTCTCTCTCTGTCTCTCTCCCTCATCTCTCTCTCTCTCTCTCTGTCTCTCTCTCTCTCTCATCTCTCTCTCTCTGTCTCTCTCTCTCTCTCTCTCTGTCTCTCTCCTCTCTCATCTCTCTCTCCCTCCCTCATCTCTCTCTCTCTCTGTCTCTCTCCCTCATCTCTCTCTCTCTCTCTCTCTGTCTCTCTCTCTCTCTCTCTGTCTCTCCTCTCTCTCATCTCTCTCTCTCTCCCTCATCTCTCTCTCTCTCTCTGTCTCTCTCCCTCATCTCTCTCTCTCTCTCTCTCATCTCTCTCTCTCTCTCTCTCTCATCTCTCTCTCTCCCTCTCCCTCTCTCCTCTCTCCTCTCTCTCTCTCTCTCTCCTCATCTCTCTCTCCCTCTCTCTCTCTCATCTCTCTCATCTCTCTCTCCCTCTCTCTCTCCCTCTCTCTCTCTCTCTCTCTCATCTCTCTCTCATCTCTCTCTCTCTCTCCCTCTTATCTCTCTCTCTCTCTCTCTCTCTCTCTCTCTCTCTCTCCCTCTCTCTCCCGCCTTCTGTGGTCCAAACAAATCCAGATCATTCAGGACCAGGATCTGAAGTCAGGAGGACGTAGTGGACACAGTGTCTGTAGTGAATAATAATTAGTGGTCAGTCAGAAGCGAGCTGTTTGTTTACCTCCTCCCGCAGCGCTCCTGCCGCTCCTGCCGCTCCTGCCGCGTCTCCCCCGGGAGCGGTAGGTGTTTCCGCCTCCTCGGTGGGAGCTCCCTCCGGTTCCGCCGTCTTCCCCCCGCTGCTCCCGCGGACCACTATGGACTCGATGAGGTGCAGCTTCTTCCTCAGGTCCTCGTTCTCCTTGTGGCTGCGGCTGATCTCCATCTGCAGCACCGCGTAGCCGTCCTCCACCAGCCCGCAGATCTCCAGCACCGCCGCTTTGGTCAACGCGCCCATGATGACGCCGAGCTGCTCGTGCAGAGCTCTGACGGTAAGAACGGACATCTCGACCCGACCGGACTCAAACCACCCCCCTTTAGGTCTGAGACGCTCGGTGTGCCGGTGAGCTTTCCGTTAAATAGCTCTGTGTGGACGTTAAAGCTGTCCGTCGGTGATTACAAAGGTGAGCAGGCCGTCTACTTCCTGTACATGCGTAGTTCCGGTTACACGGAGGACTTCAAAATAAGAGCCTGTTGTTTTCGCTGAGACGGTATTTTAAGAAAGAAAATAAAGTTTTTTTATACAAATACATTGATAAAATAATTAATTATTATATATTATAGGGCCCCATTTTTACTGTGTTTTTTATTTTGTATTATTTTGTGAAAACTAGTGTTTTTCTTAAAAAATAATTATGTCTCTGGCATAGATCGTTTTTATCTTGTCGGAGCAAGTTATTACCATGTGGTCGTGTTGTGGTCAAGAGTTCTACAATCCTACAATTCACTTAGCAGACACTTTTATCCAAAGCGACGTACATCAGAGAGTAAGAACAACACAAGCAAGGATCTAGAAAAAAGGGAACAATGTGAGTAAGAGCAAACGATCAGCTTTGAGTCTGATTGGACACACAGGTGCTGACAGGAAGTGACCAGAGGCAAAGCACAACATTGAGGGCAGTTCTTGAGAGCTCTAATCAGTATAGAAACCATCTTATAAGTCATCCTTATCAAACAAAAACCATCGTCATTACCATCATCATCATCAATAATATGGAGACCATCATCATTAAGTTAGTAGGTATTCATGAAAGAGCTGGGTCTTTAGCTTTTTCTTAAAGGTGCAGAGGGACTCTGCAGATCACATGGAGTTTGGAAGTTCATTCCACCACCGGGGGGCGACAGAGGAGAAGACATACCTGAGGCCAGAGTGCTCCGAGACCGGGACATGACCAAGACCGTGGTGGGCGTGTCACTCACTTAGACCGTAACACCGGATGCGGACGGAACAACGGCATAAAAATGTGACTACAAATGATTTGAAGTCATTTTTAGCAAAAGATGTGGAAAAGTAACCTCAGTGGTGGTCTTGGTTCAAAATCCGGAGGCCGCCCAGTCTGAGACCGAGACAAAACCCGAGAAAAAAATACTTTGGATTTTAAGACGAGACCATCAAAAAGTGGTCTGGAGACCAAGACCGGTTTTGAGTACTACAACATTACCACGTGGTAACAAGATAATCATCTTGTGCTAATGTAGCAGTGGTAATTATTAAGTGAAAATAATGTTTCTGATGTATTATCACGAGCTTTCACGTCATGCACAAAGAACAAACCAAAGGAAAACAACGTTCAGTTTTTTTAATTTCAGACACACGAAGCATTCACAAACTTCCCACAGCTGCTGACTCTCCTCATGAATCCTTTCTCACGTTCACCGACTGTCGGTGCTCGAGCAAATAAAATGAACAGACATGGGCGACAAGACAGCTGCCCAAAAGTGAAGCCAGAACACGTGGCACTCCCCTTACTGGATGGCTGGTCGTATAGGTCGTATGCTCCGCCTCCTCCATGTTAACAGATGGGACAAACTATAACGTCAAAACAAACGCTCGTTTTGGTCATTATAGTTATTTCTTATCACGCTGATTTAAGTCTGAGTGTTTATTTTAATAAAAGTTTATTTATTGTTTCATCGTATATAAAGGGGGTATAGCGTCATGATTGACAGCTCTGTTGACCAATGAGGCGCCTGCGTTGCTGTGTGCAGCTGATTCTCAGAGTGGAGGAGGAACGGTGAGAGGGAAACGTAACAAACACGAACACAAGAGTCGTTAAACTTTCCGTAAACCGTGAGTGTCTGCTTCAGACTGACTGAAGAATCTGTTGTGCCGTGAGCGACCTTTGACCTTCCTTCAATCAGGAAGTGTGTGTGTGTGTGTTTGAGTTAGAGCCAATAACGCAGCTCCACCAGCGGACCTCTCGGGGATGTTTGGCTTCATTTTTGGGAGTAGTGTCGTTCATACAGTCGGTGATCAACACTAACCCTGCATCTCAGTTCTCTTAAACGCTGTCTCCTCGCTCCTCGTCTCCTCGCTCCTCGTCTCCTCGCTCCTCGGCCCAACCAGAAGTAGTTCTCGACCCGCCATGATAAGGATCGTCCCAAAGCTCTTATAACTGAACGGAGGAGGGAGATCTGAGGAACGACGGCCGAGGATACACGAGAGCTGACTTTGCGGAAGTCTTTTTACTGACAGACACGCGCCCCCTTATCGAATTTCACTCACTGATTGGACGCTGCAGCGGATCAGACTTCAATGAAACTTCTCAACATCAGCGGAGTTTAATAACGGAGACAAAACAGACAATAAAAAGACGCTTAACGGAGCGTCGGACATTTAAACAGATTCTAAACGTGTCAGTTTGTAATAAAATCAATACCTAAGCGAGTGTAGGCCGATCACTCCCGACATCTGATTTGTTTTTGATTAACTGTCAAACAAAAAGTCTGTTAATATGAAGTGTTCAAATAAAAAGATCATAAATGATTTCTTCATAAGTTTTCTTTTCATGATCACTCAGACTGTTTGCCCTTTTTCATTTATGATGACGTGAATGAACGGCTGACAGAGGGAGTCTGTCAGTTTTACATTCATCATTATTTACGTTTGTAAAGCTTCATATAAGACTGATCATTAATGATCTTCTGTTTGGAAAATGTCACTTTTTTTCCTGTTATTTAGAACTCGTAAATAATTGTCAGTATTCCTGAGACGTAAGTATCTGTGTTTATAAAATACAGAGTTCATTGTCGAATTAGAAGTCAAAACAAATACAAATAATAAATAGACAATTTAATATTAAATAGTTTTGTCAGTAGAAATCGTCCTTTTGGTTTGAAGCAGACTGCAGGTTGTTCTTCAGGTGTTTGTTTTCAGGTAAAGTACACAGATTAAACACTGCTGCTGTGTGTATTTTATTAGAAACAACACAGCTGTGTGAGTCGACTGACAGCTGAACGTGATCAGCTGATGTCGTCATTACAAACGGACGTCGCTTCACGTGACGCTACAGAGGAAAGGACGTCTCCTGTCTCTTAAAACATATCTCCTCATTTCCTCTCTCCTCTGCTTCGTTTCCTTGCATCTCTGGTGGGAGGGGCTAAGACGCAAGTGGAGGAGGCAAATTGGAGGACACTTGGATGCAATTAAGGGAACTGGGATGCACCCTAAAGCTCGGAGGTGGACCCAAAATGGCCCACGCTCTTTTTGAGGTAAGGATTCATCAGGAAAGTGTAGTTTCATTTTGTGTCCACAGCAGGTCAAAAGGTCAAAAGGTCAAAAGGTCAAACGTATACAAGGCCTGACAAAGTGAAACCAGTCATACTGTTAGGAAAAGCATTAATTCATCCAAACAACTCAATAAATACAAAGGAAGTCCAGAGAGAGCAGTACGGTTCTGGTCCATCAGAGTTTAAGTCGGGTTAGCGCTGACAGTGTCTGAGTCACTTCCTGTGGAGCTAAACAGGAAGCTCCCCCTGGTGGTGTTTCTGCTGATGGATCCTCAGGTTCTGCTTCCCGGCGAATCGTTTCCCACAGAGCTCGCAGGCGAACGGCCGCTCCCCCGTGTGGACGCTCTGATGCGTCTTCAGGTGTCCCGACTGCGTGAAGCGCTTCCCGCACTGAGCGCAGCTGTACGGCCGCTCGCCCGTGTGGACGCGAACGTGCGTCTCCAGGCTCCGCGACGACGTGAAGAATTTCCCGCAGTAGCTGCAGACAAAGCGCCGGTCTCTGCAGAACCTGTTCAAGTCTAGAGGGTCCAGTCTGGATCCGCTGAGACCGAGCACCATGGGGAAAGCTGCGGCGTTCAGGTCCGGCACCTTGTCATGGAGCGTGGGCCTATGAGGGACAGGCATCATGCTGGGCAGGCTTTGACTGGTCCAGGAGGAGCACAGGTCCAGCTCCATGTCGTAGTTGATCAGAGACGCTCCCCGACTCAGCTCGGACATCCCCGGCAGGGAGGCGGGACTTCCCCCCGCTCCGGGGAAGAACTGCCTCCTCGACTGGGCTGTGGGCGGAGCTTCACAGTCAGACTCTGAGGCCAAGTCTAACACGACCCCTGAGGAGCTGCTCTCAGCGCCCCCTGCAGGACCTGGAGACCCCGGTGCACTGTTGGATTCTGTCAGCCTGTCACTGTTCAGATCCCACGGCCTCGTTTCTGCGACTGAGATCATCCTCCCTGAGGCGCCTTCTTCACCGCCGTCTGATCCCATCAGCTGCCCCTCGGCTCCTTTAGACAAACAAATATAAACAAACAACACAAAGCTGTGACTTCACGACACAAAGATTCAAGTGAGACAAACACCTAAATACTGTTAAAGGTCACCATGTTCCTCTAACTCTATGTGTCTCTAGTCTACAAACCCCCCAATGATGAGAAAAGTCCATCCTCTCTGTCTTCTTCATGCTCCACTTTTCAGAAAATGTGTGCTCAAACAGGCCGTTTGGAGATTTTCCCTTCATGACATCACAAAGGGCAGTAGCCCCTCCCCCAGGTGGGTGACACTCTCACAGCTAGGTGTTTGTTCTGCCCTCTGAGTCTGCCTTCTCACCGTAAACAATAGGACATGGAGCGAGAAAGACCGAGAACACCCAAGTCCTTCCAGAGAGGGGGCGTGGTCAGACACAGCTCATTTACATATTTAAAGGTACAGACACAGAAACAGCCTGTTCTGAGCAGGGCTGAAATAGAGGGGTTTATAGACATGATCAAATACAGGATCAGAGTGGATTTAGAACAAGAAACTTCACACACATGTTTTGAGGAGCTCTGAGACTTATTTACACTGAAGAAGAGGAGGAGGAAGATATGTGACCTATTTTCAAACCAGACCGTGTTGAATCCTGCATTACAGTCTAATCTCACGATATACGAGACGTGTCTTATTAACGTTCTAAAATTGCGTTTGTCAGACAGTCCAGCGTTGTATCTGGAGATATGTTCACGACAACCAATCAGGGCGTCTCCTCTCTTACCGTCGTCTGTGAGAAGCAGCTCGTCTGTGTCGTCGTCGCTCACCCTCTCTCTTTCGTCGTCTCTTCCTTTATCAAAATGACGTCCTGATCTCTCGGCTCCTCTGCAGGAGCCGCTGCAGAAGAATCCTGGAATAAAAACAATACTGATTCAGACACTTTTTCTTTCTCTTCGTATCGTTTTAAAAGTGGAGGCTCTGGTGCTTTTATGACCAGAGCCCCCTGCCTGAGGAGAAGAGTCTACAGAATCACTTTATGGAATCTCATGCAGTCTCTCTTTATTGCCTTCTATCGTCTTTTCAACTTGGATTATATTTCTTATTATTCCTTTCATTTTACTACTTTCATTATTTATTTTTTACTGCTATGACTTATTTATTTCTTTTCATTCTTTCTTTTTATTGCTCTTATTTCACCCTCTTTCATTTATTGGCCTCGTTATTGCTTTTCCTTCTCTATTTCCAAAGAGATTTGGATAAAGGGAGGGAGTTTAAGTCCTGCTACGAACCCAAATCTGAACATTTGGTGTGGTTGCTGGTGAGGTGCTAGCCAACCCTGAAACTGCTCGGGCACCAGTCCCTGCTAGGGCTGTCAATTCTTATTTTAAAATCGAACATTCATTTGAACCTGGAGGACAATGTTCCTGTTGCACGCACTCTTTACTTTTTTTTGAAAGGTTTTTTTGGGGGATTCAGAATCTATTTTCGATTCAAAACAATTCTGGATTCATGATTCAAAGTCTATTTTTGAATGAGTACATACTTCAGGATCTACTCCAATCATCAGTGAGACTGGCTGAATTTATTGCCTCTATTTTTCATTCTCCTGAGTTAAAGAGCTAGCTTTAGCACTTAGCAGGGAGTGACTGATCAGCAAAAAAAGTTGGAAGTTATGAATCTATTTAAAATCTCAGTAGATAAGAATCTTGATTTTCATATAAATCGATTTTTTTTCCAACCTCTAGTGTACGGCATGTCTCACAATGACAAAGTGAAAAGTTGTGATATTCCTCAGCATCATTAAACCAAATAATATACAACATTAAAAAGACAGTGAGTCGTACACGCCACCAGATGTCACTGTGTCCCCAAAGCTTCAGGAGGCCTTTTCCTCCTCGATAAGGAACTGTCCTTTTTACCATCAAGATGTATCAAGATAATCAGATATACACAGGAGAGCTAAAGGTTAACTTTCTGAAGATACAGAATTTAGATTGAACTTTACGATTTATGCATTTTCACTTCTTCAATCCAAATGTCCTTAAACATGAATTACATAAAGCATATAATTCGGCTTTAATTCAATCATGATTTAACATTTACAGGCTCAAACTAACTGCTCAAAAAGTCATGTGTCAACCTTAAAGGGACATATTATGAAGAATTCACTTCTTCAGTGTTTTTGAACATATATCTGTTTAACCTGAGAGTCTACTGACCCACAACATGTGAAATAAACCCATCCAGTCCTTTGTTTGTGGTCTGCATAAGTCTTAAACACAGAGAAAAATGCTCCGTTTCAAATGTGCTCCCCTTGTGATGTCACAGTGGGATTCTGGTAAAATAAAATCCCCTCCTCCCCCTGGTATCTCCACCCATAGACTCCACCCCAGCCTAGAACAAAACTGTTGCGCAGGCCCGCCATTTTTATTCTCTCTACAGAGGAGTGATGTCTACGGGGAAAACTCGGGGGGGCATTACATTTAAAGAGACACACACACCAAAACGCAGCGTTCTGAGAGAGCTGGTTTATACAGGGTCACAAACCTCCTCTGGTGTTTGATTCATGTTATATTTTGACCAAAGCACAGCACAGATGTTCATTTAGACCACAACAGGGGACAGTACTTTGAAAAGAAGGTGGAGGAGGGGGATCATATGTCCTCTTTAAAGGCTTAAAAACAATGAGCTGAAAATGAAATGCTACTCGTTAGCACGTCCTCTCACCTCTTTGCAGGTTGCAGGACTCAGCTCTATCGTCGCCTCCGACACGGGGGCCCGTCCGCTTCTTTTGATATTTGCTATCGGCAGTCTGGACACCACTCCAGCTGTTAGGGCATAATCTGAGAGGAAAACAAAAAGACACGCTTACAACACTGGTTCCTGTAGTGGGGGAAAAGGAGGCTAAACAAGAGTCTTTGAACGGTTCTTGGTGGGTTTCAGTGTAAAAAAGCAGACTGCTTCAAACCCAGGTTACCACATGTTTTAAAACCATACAATGTCTGTTATTTTAGTGCTCATGATCAATATCTCAAAAGCACCAGCACGTTTTGAAACTACATCTGTTTCATAACGCAGGTGTGTAGGAGAGGAAAGATTTACGAGATTAAACTCGTAAATTTACGACTTCAATCTCATAAATTAACGAGTTTGAGACCAGCCTGCGCAAAATGATTAAAGTAGAACTCTTAAAGTATTTCCCTCTGCAGACAGCTTCCTCCCAGTCAGTGTGGTTCTTTTATGGCTATGTGAAGATGATTTGTAATTTGTAATTTGTAATTTATTTCAAGATAGCCCCTTGAATGCATCATCTCATTTTCAAGGGGGTCCTTTTTAGCTTTAGCACTTAGCAGGGAGATG